TTGAATTTTTTGGGTAGGTTTTAGGTCTTCTTTAAATGTTTGGTAAAATTCCTCTGTGAATCCAACAGGCCCAGGGCTTTTGTTTGCTGAAAGTTTTTTGATGACTGCTTCATTCCTCCATAGTTATTGGCTTCTTCCTAATTGAGTTTTGGAAGATTGTATCTTTCTAGGAATATGTCCATTTCTTCTACGTTGTCCAGTTTGTTGGAATAGAGTTGTTCATGGTATTTTTTTTATAATCCTTTGTATTTCTGTGGGGTAAGTTGTTACTTCACCTCTTTCATTTCTGATTTTGTTCATTTTGGTCCTTTCTCTTTTGTTTTTTGGTGATCCTGGCTAGAGATTCATCAATCTTGTTTATCCTTTCAAAGAATCAGCTCTTGGTTTTATTGATTTTTTGTATTGTGTTTTTGGTCTCTATGTCATTTATTTCCCCTCTGATGTTTATTATTTCCATCCTTCTGCTCACTCTGGGCTTTTCGTGTTGCTCTCTTTCTAATTCTTTGAGTTGTAAAGTTAGCTAATTTATTACCAGTTTTTCTTGGTTTTTGAGTTAGGCCTGTAAAATTATGAACTTCCCTCTCAGAACTGCTTTCCCTATGTCCCATAGATTTTAGATTGTTATATTTTCATTGTCATTTGTTTTTATTTCTTCTTTCATTTCTGGTAACCCAATTATTGTTTAATAATGTGCTATTTAACCTCCAAGTGTTTGAATTATTTTATTGTTTTTATTGTAGTTGATTTCTAAAAGCTTCAGAGTTGGCAGGGTCATGCACCTATGACATGAGGCCATAAGGTATCAAAAGAAGCTTTTATTTCAGGCACCTGGGTGCAGGTGGGCTGAGTCCAACAAAGGAATCAGCAGAGAGTGTAGGGAGGGAAAGGATTTTATTAACTTTTGCTGCCTGCAAGCCGTTTTGCTGATGTAAGGGTTTGGTCCATCCTTAGCTCTTCCTGGCGCTAGATTTCCAGTAACTATCTGCACTATGCCATGGTGAAGATTGCAAGCTTTCTGCAAGATATCTGCTAAGCACAATAAGTTTTCTCTGTCCTGTTTTACTCTCTTTAACCCTTTCAATTTCTAGTGTTATGCCATTGTGATCTCAGAAGATGTTTGATAAGATTTCAGTCTTCTTGAATTTGTAGAGACTTAGCCTATGTCCCAATATGTGGTATATCTTTGGAAATGTCCCATGTACACTTGAGAAGAATACATATTTTGTAGCTTTGAGGTGAAATGTTCAAAAGATGTCAATTAAGTCCATCTGATCTAGTGAGTCATTTAAGATTGCTGTTTCTTTGTTGATTTTTTGTCCACAGGATTTATCCAGTGATGTCAATAGGGTATTAAAGTCCCCTACTATGATTGTATTGCTGTCAATCTCTCCCTTGATATGTTCCAGAACTTTTTTTTTAATGTGTTTGGGTCCTTCTGCATTGGTTGCATATATGTTTACCAGAATTATATACTCTTGTTGAATTGCTCCTTTAGTATTATGAAGTGGCCTTCAATATCTCTTGTTATGGCCTTCACTTTGAGGTCTATTTTGTCATATATAAGTATTGCTATCTCAGTTTTTTTTTTCATTTTTGTTTGCCTTAAGAACATTTTTCCATCCCTTCACTTTCAGTCTGTGAGTCCCTTATTCTGAGGTGGGTCTCCTATAGAAAGCATATATGGGTCATGTTTTCTTATCCATTCAGCCACCCTATGTGTTTTGATTGGAGCATTTAATCCATTTACATTTAAAGGTATTATTGATAAGTATTTGTTTGTAGCCATTTTTATTTTTTGTGCTTGTGTTCCTTCTTCCCTTTCTATTTCTTCTTTTTACAACAGTACCTTTTGCATTTCTTGCATTGCTGGCTTGGTAGTAATAAACTCCCTTAGCCTTTTTTTATTTGCAAAGCTCCTGATTTCCCCTTCAATTTTGAATGATATCTTTGCTGGATAGAGTGTTCTTAGATTCAATCCCTTGCTTTGCTTCACTTTGTATACTTCATTCTATTCTCCTCTGGCCTGATGTGTTTCTGTTGAGAAATCATTTGATAATCTAATGGGAGATCCCTGTAGGTAACTCTCTGTCTCTCTCTTGCAGTGCTTAAGATTCTCTCTTTGTTGTTAATGTTTGCCATTGTAATTATGACGTGTCTTGATGTGGGTCTTTTGGGGTTCATCTTGTTTTTGGAATTTCTGTGCTTGTATGACTTTTTTCTTCCTCAATTCAGGGAAGTTTTCTGTCATTATTTCTTCAGATAGGTTTTCTAATCCTTGCTCCTCTTCTTGTCCTTCTGGCATCTCTATTATATGGATGTTGCTTTTTTTATGTTGTCCCTAAGCTCCCTTAAGCTTTCCACCTGCTTTCTATTTTTTTTCCTCCAATTGCTGTTCAAATTGTGTGTGTTTTCCTGCCCTGTCTTCTAGCTCGCTGATGCGGCCCTCCTTTTCTTCTAGTCTATTGTTGAAACCTTCCATTGTGTTTTTTATTGTAACTGTATCATTTTTTATTTCCTCTTGATTCTTACATAAGTTGTTATTTTCTCATCTAGCCTGTTTAGAAACTGTATGACCCTTACTCTGAATTCTTTTTCTGACATTTTGCATGCCTCCGTTTCATTTAGATCCTTTTCTGGCGATTCTTCCTTTTCTTTCCTTGGGGCTTGTTTCTTTGTCTCCCTATTTTTGCTGTCTTTTTCTTGCTCTGGGGTCCCTGCAGGGGGTCCCAGGCATTAAAGGCCCTAGCAGTCCAATGGTCCTGGACCCCTAGCCCAGGAGTTGGGTCTGCCTTGAGCTTCACACTGTTATTGTCTCTCCTCTGAGTTGTACTCCCTTCTCCCATGGTTCTGATTCCTCAGTTGTCTGTTTCTTGGGGTTGGCGCATGTGGGTGCATAGTTGCTCTAGTTTGTGACTCTCTGTGAGGGCCAAGAATCCTCTGGCATGCAATTTTCTGTGCAGCCCCAGCTCCTAAGGCAGGATGGTGCCTAGGTCTCTCTGGCAGTGCACTTGCAGCATGGTACTGTGACCTGTTGCTGGGCACACCAGGACCCACCAGCAGCTCTGACCTGGGGTGGAGGTAGGGTGTGTGCCGGGTGACAGCTGTCTGTGCTGGGTTCAGAGCATGCACAGTTCAAAGGCTCTGTCTATGCCGGGGGCAGGGCACTCAGCAGCCGAAGGCTCTGTCTGTGCTGTTGACCGAGCACCCACCTATCAACGGCTCTGTATCTGCTGGGTGTGTAGCACACACTGGCCCAAGGCTCCATCATTGCTGGAGGCTGGATACGCACCAGGCTGCCTCTCTGTCTGTGCAGGGGTGGGGCAACACTGGTCAGAGGCTCTGTCTCTGCTGGGGGCATAGCAAACACTGGGCTGCGGCTCTGTCTGTGCCAGGGGTGGGGTGCACACCAGCCAAAGGCTCTGTCTGTGCTGCTGGCAGAGTGCAGTCTTGACAAAGTCTCTGTCTGTGCGGGGGGTGGGGTGATCACCGGGCAAGGGCTCTGTCTTAGTGGGGGTGTAGTATGCACTGGGCTGTGGCTCTGTACTAGGACCAGGGATGGAGCAAGGAGTGGGGTACAAGTGGCTTGCACTCACAGCATGGGGACCTGAAGCATGGTATTCTGGGACACTGGGTTTGGGCTTTGGCAAAGAGGCACAGCTCAGGAGGTCTGTCTGGCAAGCACTCACTCTAGACATTGGGACCTACATTGTGGTATCATGCTGCTCACTGCTGGAGCATGGTGGTGGTTCCACGTGTGTTATGGCTGGCAAGCGGCTCCCTGCACAGGTCCTGGGGAGCTATGCAAGGTTGGTCTGGGTTTTGGTGTGTCAGCACTCCTGGCCTCCGTTACTCCCCTCTACAAGATGGCATGGGTTCCCCACCAAAGCCGAACCAGTCTGGGGGTGCCCGTGGTGGCAGCAGGGGCTCCCCATCTAGGAGAGCCTGATCTTCCAGTTCCTGGGACTCCTGAGATATCTATCTGTCCCTCATTCATCCACACACATACCACACATGTCTACACATGCCCTTCTCACCCCTTTACTCACACTCTCTCCCTCTTTATTTATATTTTTTTCTAGTTTCATCTGTGGGCTTGCCTATTTAGTATTTATTTTAAATAATACTTTTTTAAGTCTGTATAATAACTCAATCTTGATTTTTTATATCTATCAATTTGTATTGCCTATTATTTCTCTTAGGTTTTGTTTATGTATCAGATAATCTTTGTATGAGTTTTAAACAATGTATAAGAAAATTTGTAGAGGTATATTTTAAACTTAGAAATAATTTCAAACTTGCAGGAAAGTTGTAAAGTAAGAAAAGTACAAAGAACATTTATATACCATTTGCCCAGATTCACCTATTGTTAACATAACATTTCACTACTTTTACATTATAATTTGAATATGCTCTCCTTCATTCTCTTTTCTCTTTCCTCTTCCCACCTCTCTATATGTATATGTACATGTACATACTTCCACTCATATATTTTTTCTTAGCCATCTGTTTAATTTGCATACATCATGACCTCTTTACCCCTAAATACTCCAAGGCGTATTTCCTAAGGAATATTCTGTGGAGACAGTTTGAGCCTCTGGATGATGTGATTTCTTTGAACAGAAATTGTTATATTTTTCTAGCTTTTTTGGCTAAGATTTATCTAAAAAATTTAGTCTGCCATTGCCAGAAATTTCTAAAGTTTTATTGCTGTTGTATATTTTCCTATTGTGAGGGCCAGTCTCTCCTCATTACCCTTCTTTTATAGAATTTCTTTACTATTGCTACTTATTTATTTTTCTATATGAAGTTTTACAATAAGTTTTTCTTGTTTCTAAATAATTCATTTTTTATTATTAAATTATGAATTAATTTTGGAAGATTTATATTATCATGTTAATATTCCTACATAACAACAGGGTCTGTTTTTCCATTTCTCCAAAACTTCTTTTGGAATCCTCAGCAGTCTTTTACTTTCTCTTCATTTTTTCTTCTGCTCACAGCAAGATGGATTCTGGATATACTCTGAGTACTGTAACAACCATCTGGACGCCTGCATGGAGCTCTCCAAACTGATGAAGGACAGCCGCTATCAGCATTTCTTTGAGGCCTGTCGCCTCTTGCAGCAAATGATTGACATAGCTATTGATGGTTTCCTTCTCACTCCAGTCCAGAAAATCTGCAAGTATCCCTTACAGTTGGCTGAGCTCCTCAAGTATACTGCCCAGGACCATAGGTAAGGGATTAATGGAGGCAAGAGTGAAGGAGAGAGCCTCCTCTACATGTTGGTTCTTACTGAGTATGTATGTTCTTTTTCCTTGTCTGAGCTTCTGTTAGCTTCTTTGCACAATGGGATGATGACATATTCTTGCTTACCTCACAAGGCTGTTATGTGTATAAAGTAAGGGAAGGCTTATAAAGTTGTAAATCAAGTTTCCTTGCATTATAGTGTCTCTGTTACTGGTTTTTAAGAGCTTGTTTATGACTAAAGATGTTAACCATTTCTCATGTGTTGCAAATGAAATATTTTGTTACTATTTTATTCTGGTGTTTTACTTTTTGGTTGTATCAAACTTGTGTATTAAATATGATCATGTTCTGTTTTTAAAAAGTTGTAAGTCAGTATGCACAAAAAAATCATTATGCATCATCATTATTGTACAACTTAAACCCTACCTTCAGGAAGCCTACAGTCTGGTCCTTAGTCCTGAGTTTAGCCAAGTAATTCAACACAAATGGAATAATTGTTCAACTGTTATTTTCTATTCTGCTTAATAGATTTAAATATTTTGGTAACAGCCTGCCCAACTATACCGACCTTACATTTATTCTGCAAGGCTAACTCCTTGGTTTTCTTTATCTTTTCTATCCTGCTCTGCCTCATTCCAACTGTACTTTCCCATTAGACCCTGAACATACTGGGGGAAAATAGACTTGAAACTTCCCCTGAAGTTTTTTTCAAAGTTTTTTAATATTTTCTAGAAAACCAACTCAAAATGGACCAAGGAGTTTATCTCTCAGAATGGAAATGGCATCCCTAACCCCCTACCAGTAAGGTATATGCTGGGAGTCATCTCCAACAATGGGGATGATCTAAAGTGAACCATCCCCCACTCTCCCACTCTTTCAAGTGTTTTACTTCATGAACTAGAGTCCTCAGCCTGTTTCTAGACCGCCTTTAATTGGTATTAAGTCCCTGACCTTAGACCAGTTGGGCCAGCTCTCTGCTTTCTTTCTGATTGAACACTCCAAGTAGAAAGAAGGCCTTTGCCCAATTGTTTTAGTTTCCTATCTGATTTGTATTAAGCCTGCTTTCTACTTTTATTTGGCTCCATTGCCTAGGTTCCTTGGATCTGACTTCTAGATCTAGTTGCATAAGGCCATGGGTGTTGGCCAGTTGGTTTTGTTTATATCAAACTTCTAGGTCAATCCATGCGTTTATTTTTAAGTTGATGTTTTTCTAAGCAAATCATGGGTCATGTGCTTCAGTAGTTTTGGAGCCCTGAACAGATTTCAGATATGAATCCAAATACAATGACACTGGACTCTCCCTTTGTGTGAGTAACACCACCAGTAGTAATTCTGCCTTCCATGCTCTGTTGGCTATGAGGAAGGCAGGTAGAGAGAAGGACCTTGCAAAGGAGGATTCTTCTCTCTCCTCCTTCAGTCTGTTTGCTAGCTTGGGAATGATGGGAATATTCATTAGATATGAAATTTGGAGGTGACTACATCTCATTTAAAAAGATTTAATACAACGCATTGTCAGAACTGAGTGCCAAGTTTTCTAAGGACACAGTTTCTTGTGAGAGCTAACATAGGACGCTGAAGAACCCCCACTAAAATTAAGATATTTTGAAAATAAAAATGGAAAATATTTATGGCACTTATAATGGAAAGACCCTTAAAGGAACGTATTCTAGTCATATTTCCTCCTTCTATAGCTGGAGAGACTGAGGCCCAGACAGTGAAATTACAAAGATCAAGTCCTTGGAAAAACAGGGACACAAATTTTGGACAGTGGTCTGAGAACTTAGCTTTTTTTTTTAACTGTAAGTTGTTTTTTGTTTTGTTTTTTAAAAACCTCACTCGAGGATATGTTTATTGACTTGAGAGAGAAACATTAATGTGAGAGAGAAACCTCGATCAGTTGCCTCCCATACACGCCCCAACCTGGAATTGAACCTGAAACCTAGGTATGTGCCCAGACCTGGAATCAAACCCACAACCTTTTGGTGTACAAGATGGTGCTCCAACCAGCTGAGCCACCTATCCAGGACTGGGAACATAACTTTTTAAACCTTTTTAAAGAGCTCTCCAAGTGATTCCATGCCCAAGAAGGTTTGTCAGCCATTGTATTAGCTCATCTGCAAGGTGTCTTCCGGTTCTGTTAACTCGTGATATCATGAACCTAAATGCCATTCACAGTTATACTTCATGGTGTTAAATGACCAAAAGCAGCCACTATTGTACCTAAATCTCAGTGGAGCAGCCTCCAGACCAATAGTTTTAAAACTGGTATATTCGAATAGTGGTTCTCAGATGTTTTTATATCACAGTTCATTTCCTACCTAATCCTGAGTATCTGTTCCATGGAACCTAGCAGGAGGCTCTAAAAACCATACTTGGGGATGGATGATTTCAACTAGGTAAATTATATGTTACATAATTGCTTTTAAGAGCTCAGAAAGACCATGTTCAAAGCACAGCAAAAAGCTATGTTAGTTTCTTAGGTCAAAGCAACCTCGGGGCCTTTTGAGTTTAATGGGAACCAATAAGATAGGTCATCTGCCTGGGATTTGCCATTCCTGTATTACTTCACCTTGTAACTGGAACCCCTGCCTCAAGGCCTCCTTTGCCTTTGGGTCCCTGGTCTCCTGTCCTTCTATCCCCTGGGATCAAGAATGCTGAGAGAATGTCTCAGTGAGTGACAGGCTACATCAATCCCTATTTTCCTTCAGCATGCCCTATTGGGCCCAGCACTATACCCAGGTCACAGACAGGTTCAGCAAGCTGCATCAAGATGGCAGCTCCTGTGATGCATGTCAGAGTAGCTTGGATTGGAAGGCAATTAGAAGTTGCTGCCAGCTTAAAAGCTTAGTGTGATAGGTGTTAAGATAGGTGGGTCTGAAATGCAGGCAGTCAGGGTGGCTGCTGAGGTAGAAGATTAGATGGATGGACAGTGATAAATGGAGAACAATACTACCTTTGCTTACAGAAGAGTGACATGTCCCCATCCTGCCACCCAACCTTCCTTAAGCTGACAAGAGGGCATTTAGCTGATGTATCTGGAGTAATACAATCTTGCTTCAGTCAATCTCTTCATTAGGGGCCTGGGCCCAGACCTCATCTGGAGTCCTCTGGACTCTGAGCAGGATTCAGACTGGACCACAGCTATTTACTTTTTTCACACACTACTAAAGCTAAAGGGGCAAGTTAGAGATGGGAATATTTCCTCTATAACCATTGTGAGAAAGGCACCCAGGTAACAATGGCAAAGGTTGACTGACAGTATTGCACAGTGGCAGGGATTAATTCATGGCTGAGTGGGGCATGAAGTAATAAGCATTTTCATGCCAGTGCTGTCCAGTATAACTTTCTATAGTAATGTAAAGGCTCTATATCTATGCTGTCCAATATTGTAACCATTGGCCATATATGGCTACTGAATACTGATAAATGTAACAGATAAAACTTGGGAACAAAAAAAATATTTTACTTAAATGTAGCTAGTGGCTACCTTATTGGGCAGTATAGCTTTATGCTTTACCTTCCAGAAAGTAGCTTAAGGCATTTTCCTGATGCTCTCAAATCAGATAGAGGAATGGCCCAAAGAACAGAGGTTCTTGTTTATGTTAACAGCTTCTACTCTACATTGTGGCCCTTCTATCATCACCCTATTCTGCTTCTAAATATCAGGCTCAGATAGTAGTGCCAGAGAATAACTTTGGCAATGTTACAGAGCCCAATAGATCCCCCATAGGCTGTAGGATCTATTGTAAAAGGATGAAATGTAACATGAACAAATGTAAAGATTTGCAGTTGTGTTTAATAAATCAACAGTTAAACTACAGATTGAGAGACATGCAGCTTCCAGACAGCATATTTCAAAGAGACTTAGGAAACATTAGTCAGCCATAAGCTCAATATGAGTCAACAGTAGGATCCAGAAGAGAAACTGATAATAGCTAACATTCATAAAGATTCAGGATAAAGAAGAGCTTATTTTTTAACAGAGTTTTCTTGAGACAAAATAAACTGGTTAGGAGGAATAGTAAGTATTTTGTCACTGGAAGTGATTAAATACAGTAATGTTTGAAGACTGAGGTCTGACAGTTGTACAGAAAACAAACTGGAGTAAAGGAGTAAAATAGTTTACATGGATGATTAAACCCTCAATAAATCCTAAGGTAATTCTCCTCATTTTGGGGGAAACTAAGGAAACTGAGTCACTGAGAGGGTGAATGAAACTTGCCAAAGGCCACACCACTAGTCAGTGACAAAACTAGGATTTGAGCCCAAGGAGTCTGGTTTCAGTCTCTGTTCTAATCACTATTCTATGTATTATCTCTATATTGTTCAGGAGGATGTTACTTCACAGTGATTTGGGGCAGAGTTCCCTAGAAATAGGTGATAGAAGAAATGGTAAAGTTGTCTGGACCAAGGCATGTGCGAAGATCCCTTCTTGGTTTTTAGCTGGTTGTATCAGATAGGACACAAAAATAATGGTGTAGAAAAGATATGGGTCTATTTTTTATCTTATGAAAAAGATGTCTGCAGGGAGGTAATCTATGGCTGCCATAGTCATCAGAGACTTGGACTTTCTCCACCTTTCTCTTATCCTATCTCTAGGAGTCTGGACCTTATCCTTATGGTCCAAGATGACTGCTAGAACTTCAGCCATCAAATCTATATTCTAAGTATCATGATTAAGTAAGGGCTAAAGAATAGTATGCCAATTTCCTTAAAAGAGGTTTCTCAAATTATTCTCCACACTTTTATTTACATATCATTTGACATAATTTAGTCACATAGTCACCCCTTACTGTAAAAAATGATAGGTAATGTAGTCTCCATGTGACATGGCTTCTATCTGAAAACCAGGGTTCTGTTATACTAAGTAGGAAGAAGAAAATGGATGTTAGGGTTGGCATGTAGCAAATTGGTTCTCTGGCACATTGAGTCATTCAACTTGTACTTTTGTGTCTTTGCAGTGACTACAGGTATGTGGCAGCTGCTCTGGCTGTCATGAGAAATGTGACTCAACAGATCAATGAACGCAAGCGGCGTTTGGAGAATATTGACAAGATTGCCCAGTGGCAGGCCTCTGTCCTAGACTGGGAGGTAGGATCCTTACCAACAGGGATATTGGGAATTCTGAACAGCTTAGCCAGAACTGCACATAGCCATGGATGGGTGAAGAGGAATTAGATTTGAAGAGCAGCAGGAAGGATTTAGATGAGAGCCAAAGCAAAACTTCATGCTAATGAGAGGTATCATGTACTTGAATAGCTTTCTAAGAAGGTTGGATAAATCTTTGTAACAGTGCTTCATTAAGAAAGGAAAGGTTCATCATTTTTCTTATTGCCAGGAAACGATTGGGTTGACTAGGTAACCTTTCAAATCTCTTTCAAGTCCTGGAATTTCATCACCACCAGATGAATACTTGGCTGAAGAGATCTATATCCTAATTCACTCCCAAACACAGAATACAAGGTTGGTTCTCTGGTATAGGCCAGCCAACATACTTATTTTCCTCTTGTTAGGATCACCTCACCATGACATATCTATTAGGTCTACCCAAGCCTGCACACTTCAGGCCCTGACTATCATCCCTGCCAAATTGACAGACCAAATTCTGTTGTTGTTTTTTTGTCATATGCTTATAAAAATAATACCTCACAACCCCATTCCATTGGACATAGATACAACCTCTAAGTAATAATCAATACTTCAGAGCAGCTTAGGGGAACAGCATAGAAAATGACCTGTTCCAAGGACTGTTGTTTCTGGAGAATTTGAATTCCTAATTTTTCTGATGCTGATATTTGGTTTAGCTATCACTTTACCACCCTTTACACGCATTAGATCCACTTGAAAGGAAGGGAGAAGGAACATATCCCCGACAACTTCTTTTTAATCTTTTTTTTTTTGAGATTTTTTTTTTACCAGGAACCCAAGTTTAGAGCTCATGTTTGGGAACATGATTGTGATTTCCTCCTCATGGAACCCTTCCCCTCACATCCTGGTTGTGTAATACCCAAGGACCTATTGCAGTTTACCATCGGGTGATTTAATCCAAAGAAGTTGGAGGATACACAAAGCCCCAACATGATGGAGGCAGCAAGAGCATCTGTTTAAAAGCTAAACTGGCTTGATGAGGCATGTTCCTGGGACCAGGAGACCAAATCTGGTGCTGGATGGATTTGTTATTTCTCTGCCCTCTTGTCAGTAGGCAGCATTGAAAATAAACTGTATGAAAATAAACCCTACATCAGACAATCAGCCTGTAATCAGAATGGTGTGCTGAGAATTGAGATGAGTGAGATGTGCTTTTGCCTATCCGGGGGTGAAGTGGAGACAAATACATTCTAGGAAGAGGAAACAGTGTGAGCAAAATTCTGGAGGAATGGAAGAGAACAATAGGCCTGTGGGGAAGGGGTCAGTGGAAAAAGATTGCACTTTGGGGACAAGGTGAGAGCTCTGAATTCTGAGAGAGCTCTTTCCTTCACATGGACTGATTTGACATGGCCACTTTCAAGCAGCCATATAAGATGAGCCATACAGGAACCATTATATTATTCCAAATGTCCAAATAAGGAAACAGATTGAGAGTGGTTAACATATTTCTCATAGGCACAGGTAAATTGGTAGCAGCAGTGGGTCTAGAACCCAAGCCTTCTGAGATTCTCACCTCAGAAAACTTCCAGGACACCTGGTTGTTCCATTAAAGAATCATTATTCTACTGTGGTTCAGTGGTTAGAACATGGAATTTGGAGGGAGTCTACCTGGATTCAGCCACTTTAGTACAATTACTTCCAATTTCTCTGACCTTGATTGTGGGATATTAACAGTATATTTCTTATTATGTTGTGAGTATGAATAGGAGTATGTATGTAGCACAGGATATAGGGCACACAGTAATACTCAATAGAATAACTTTCACTTATATAGAGCTTATAATATGATATGTACTTTCCTAACAACTTTATATATGTTGATTTATATAATCTTCACAACAGTCAAATGAGGTTGGTACTGCTAGTATCCTCATTTTTAAAATGAGAAAACTGAGGCACAGAGAGGACATGTGAATTGCCCGACATCAACTGTCAACCACCTTGATGAGCATAAGGAGTATTTTTTCAAGGTTTTATTTGTTTTTGTTTGCTTGGTGGAGTTATATGTGATAAGTAGTACTTAGAATAGAATTTGTCTACTTACTGATACGGTGGGTGGACCAGATGACACTCAGTAGTCCTAGTCCTTGTACAATCATTCTCAGTTTAGTAAGTGGTGCATCTAAAAGTAATCTTGGCCATTCTTGTATGGCATTGGCCCCTTTTATAGATTTCTTTCACTTCATATATATTCAAAATAGATGGTGACACATCTTCCTGGCATACCTCAGATGGAACATGGCAGACTGGTACCACTCTCACCTTTCCATTCCTTCAAAGGAAAGGCCTGTATAGTCCCCTCATTCTGAGGACTTCCTCTCCCAGATCTGGGCCTCCAGAAGTTCTGTGCTACTATGTGGGCTCCCAAAGAAGGAGTGTTATCTAAGTTTTAAGGTATCCCTGGGTTGGAGTCTAGAGTCACAGTAATATCTCTGAGCTTTCTTTCTGAGGTTGTATTATTAGAAAATATTCCCGCTGAGCACCTCTTTTCCTTTCCATCCCTTAGACTGGGAAAAAATGGTATGCTTGAGAATATAATATCCAGCTACCCCTCTCTTTGGCCCAGTGTTGTTTGCCTCTGATTATTTCTGGGGTGATGCAGCAGCCATCATTTCTAACTGACTTCAAGCTTTGAGTACCAGGGCTAGGAACTTAGACATCATCCTCAGATACCTCATTTAACAGCTGGGAAAGCTGAGACCCAGAGAAAGGAAGGTACTGACTCTCCAGTAATTTTGGCCTGGATACAGCATAATGTAATGGTAAGAGTGAGCACATTCTCCAAAGCCATAGAATTGAGGTTTGGTTGTAGATCTGTAGCTAACTAGCTGGATAAACTTGGCTGATCACTTGACCTCTCTGTAACTCAAACTATAAAATGAGAGCAAGAATATCTATCTCTCAGGGCAACTGTGAGTGTTAGAAGAGATAAAGTGTAACACAATGTTTGACCAATATAGGTGCTCAGTAAGTATTAATCCTGGGCACTGCTCTTTGTCCCCATCTGCACATAGGCCCAGGAACACACATCCTGGTGCTCATGGCTTTGATTTTGTTTGCCTTGTGTTCCATGAGTTCCAAGTACATCTCTATTAGTCTTATCCACTGAAGATGTAAGATCCTTGAAAATAGGTTCCAAGTCTAACTTAGCATCTGACAGACCTACCACATACCTCTGACCTAGCAGAATTACCATTAAAAAAGGAGCCTTTAGAGACTATAGAATTAAAGAATTAGGAAGCAGGTGTCTTGGTGCTTTTTTGTGTGTCTGACTCTACATAACAAGGAGGAGTTGTTTCCAACTCTCTGGATAATAAATCAAGGAAGCATGTGGTCATAAAGTTTTCTATTTAATCAATATATTTTAATAACTTATTAGAGGAAGAAAAACACTATTGTAAGAGGGTGAGTGGTTTCTCTTTTCCTTTATTATCATCTCCTTCTTGCTCTCCCCTGTCCCCTTTTTCTCATCCAAAAAACAGAGAGACTTATACCACCTATTCAGACTTACCCTTCAGATACAGGAAAGCATCTAAAAGACAAATGCTGGGATGAAATACTGTGGCAGAGAGAGATTCATAGAGAAAAAGAGGCCAAATTAGAGAATGAACTTCATGGCAGCTGGTGCCCCTAGGGCCAGAGGGCAATTGACTATAGCAGTTCTAGGTGGCCCTGGGCTCATATGGCCTCAGGGTGAATAAGAGTATTAGTCTTTCCAGATCCAGCTCATGGAGCCTTTCAAGGATTCTCAGGAGTCCCTCCCTTCATCCCTCCTTTCCCACCAGTCCTTTCTGTTCTACTCCTGCCCCAGATTATGCATAGCCCTAGGTGCCTCCAGGCAGGTGATGGGTCCATCACTCCTGCCTGGCTACCTCTCACTGTCACATGTCCTTCCCAGGGTGAGGACATCCTAGACAGGAGCTCGGAGCTGATCTACACTGGGGAGATGGCCTGGATCTACCAGCCCTATGGCCGCAACCAACAGCGGGTCTTCTTCCTGTTTGACCACCAGATGGTCCTCTGCAAGAAGGTAATCACACCCTCTTCTTCCCTGAGGAATATGGGCACTTCAGGGGGCACCAGTCTCTCCCCCTTTATCATCCCCAAACTCTCAATAAAGTGAGCTAAAACTTATGGGTCAAAAGCAGACAGGAGATTGACAGCAATTCCATATCGGGATCACTGGTATGGCATGAATATTGTAAGTAAAGCTGGCTTTTGGGCAGTGAAACTCTGAAGATAGGATATTTTTGTCTTGGTATCATTTTTACTATTTACCCTCCTGCCCCTGGTGATCCTTCTCCACTATCTTCCACCCAGAGCTGATAGCCTACTGGTTTACACTAGGCATTAAAAATATTTAAATATTTCTATCCCAGTTGGTGAATAGTGGCTTCCCTGAGCAAATTCACCCTATTTCCACTCCAATGGCTCTAGCCATCTGGACCCTCACTGCCCCAAGAAACAACAAGGGTCCTCCTACCTTTCCCTGACAGGTATGTACTTTTGTGGTACAGGAATTTCCCCTGTGCCCTTACTTATTTTCTACACAAGTTGTATCACTTTCTTATAACTCTTGACTATGCTTTTCTCCACCCTCCATTCTCTGTAATCCTTTTGATGAGATATCTTACTCTTGTCATTGACCTCTGGCTGACTCAATGTGAGTGTTGGTTTCATGGTCTCCAATCCTTGGCAGGTAGGAGGATGGCATATGTTCTCAGACTGATGGATATACTGTTCCTCTCTTCCGAAGGTATACTGTTCCCCTCACTTTCTCTCTCAGCATAGGGAGTTCAGACCACTTTTGGCTCCAGGGAGTGGTTGGGAAAAATTTTGGACACGGGAAAATAAAAGAGAAGGGAAAAACCAAAGAATGCTTAGAGTGACTTTCTAAATTTGTTGTCCTACCCTTGGCTCTGACTCCATCATCCAGTCCCTTTGTTCTTAACCTTATCCAGTAGTAAATGCATCTGAAGAGGAATGGTGAGTCTTGAGATACCTAGATTAAAATTGTAATTTTTTCCAGCCGTCTTGAGACATGAGCTACACATTTGTTTTTAAGCACCCTGTTCTCTGTGTGTGCCACATGTTTCATTAAAACTTTGTCCATAACCCTAACTTGTTTGTCTCAGTGGATAGAGTGTCGGCCTGCAGACTGAAGGGTCCCAGGTTCGATTCCAGTCAAGGGTATGTACCTTGGTTGTGGGCACATCCCCAGTGAGGGGTGTGCAGGAGGCAGCTGATCGGTGTTTCTCTCTCATCGATGTTTCTAACTCTCTATCCCTCTCCCTTCCTCTCTGTAAAAAAATAAAATATATTTAATAAACAAACAAACAAAACTTTGTCCATATGCCTTTGACAGTGGATTGAGAGAACAAATTGAGTTTTGAGTCAAAGTGCCTCAGTGTTGGAGATAAGCTTTGAATGCCAGCTCCAGAACCAATAGTGGATTGGTTAATGGATACAATAATTATCTTGGTCTGTAGCTGACCCTGGAAGACGGAACTTTTATGACTATAGAACTTAGCCAAATACCAGGCCTCTTCTTAGCTCCGCCCCGCCCCCCCAATTCTTCCTAGGACATCTATCAAATCAGGAGACGGAATTGTTGAGGATTAACTCAAGATTTATTGCAAAAACTTACCCATTTTGCAAATTATTATGCAAAATCTTTCCCATAGTGTACATTGGAAATTGGGATTACCTGAGCCACTAAGAGCAGCTTTAAAAATGTGTAGCTTGATTTAGAGGGTGTGTGTATCTATATACACATATATATATGTATATGTTTATGAATTAAATGGCCATTATAGTGGATGTGAAGATACCAGTGACTTCTAATTATGTGATCTGTTCTTTAATTTTTGCTGTCCTCATTCTTTTCTTGTCACTTTTCTTTTGAAAAATATAAATAAGATTATTTGTTCTCTTTTTTCCTGTCCTCTATGATGGCTGGCTCTGCTCCTCTTAATCTCATTGCCCTGATATTTTAGTTATGCATGTGTATTGTTATTTTTTCTGACATAGCTATACTGGAAATTATTTTGCTGCTTTGGGGGATTTTTCCCCTTTTCTCCATGTTTGCCCTTTCACTTTTTAGTGGGAAAGGGAGGAGAACCCATTTCTCCTCTCCTCAGTCATTTATCCACTAAATTTCCTACAGCCCTGAAGTTGCCCAAACAGACTTTGTCTTGTATCTTCTGTCAATAGTGCTAGTCTGGATGTGCTCTGTTGTCTCCTGTGTCATGATTACTTGATATTTATGTTATTTTTGTCATATATAGAATTCAATGATGCTAGAGAAGGGACTTCTTTTGTTCAAGTAACTCTCTGCATTTGGGCCATTTCTTCTTGCACTGATTGGCCCGACTTGGAGGATGAGCCATTCAGGACAACTAGAAATGCAAACATAGCAACAGAAATGGGGATAGAGAGAAAGAAGATGAGGAGTTGAAGCCAGAACAACTGGGTCCTAGACTCTACTGTCTCTTACTAATTAGTCTAACCTTGGGCAGTGCTTTAACTGTAAATAATTATTTTTCCTCAGTGTCAAAGCAGGTACATGATAAAAATTTATCTCAGGAGGCTTTGAGAAGAACCCTCTAAGTTAGTAGGAAGCAATGAAGTTTACTCTTAAGAGCATGGATTCTAGGGCTAGATAGGAGAGAATAAATTTCTTTTTTTTCCATGAGCTGCATGACCTTGGACAAATTATCTGTGCCTATTATTATCCCCTCATTTGCAAAATGAGAATCATAATCATGTCTACATAGAAGGGAAGTAAGGAAGGTCAAATGATACAAAATAATTGCAGTGAGTGGCACATAGTAAGTACATAGTAAATACTAGCCATTGTATATTTAGTGTTACTAATCATTTATTCAGCAAATTTTTATTGGGAGGCAGTATCCAGAAGGTTGAACAATCATAGATTCTAGAGCCAGATAGCCTGGACTCAAGGTACAGCTCTTCCATTTAGTTTTTTTTTTCTGGACAAGTTTCTTAACTGCTCTATGTTTAGAGTTCCTCATAAAATGGGATTACAACAGTACCTTCCTTGTAGAATTGTTGTGAGGATTATTTAAGTTAATAAACGCAAAAGCATTTAGCTACTGAGTAATGCATAAAGAAAATATGGTATGCGAAATGGAATATTACTAAGCCTGAAAATAGAAGAAACTCTTGCCATTTGCAACAATATGGATGAACCTGGAGGGCATTATGCTAAATAAAATAAGACAAAGACAAATACCATATGATCTAACTTATATATGCAATTTAAAGCATTTGAACTCATAAAACAGAGAGTAGAATGGTTGTTGATGGGCTGGTGAGGTGGAGGAAATAGGGAGATATTGGTCAAAGGATAAAAACTTTCAGTTATACCAGATGAATAAGTTCTCGAGAGCTAATGTACCAGCATAGTGATCATAGTGATACTGCGTTGTATTCTTAAACTTTACTAAGAAAGTAGAACTTAAGTTTTCTCATCACAAAAAAATGGTGATGCATATGTTAATTAGCTTGATTGTGGTAATTACTTCACAGTGCATACCTTAAATATGTACCTCAATAAAGCTGGAGAAAAAGGCAAAGCATTTAGAATAGAATTGGCACATAAATTATGCTGTGTTCACTGTTGCATTATTATTATTATTTTGTTATTAATAAGTATGTACTCTTGATGCTGAAATGAAATAATGAGAAAAATAAATCCAGTCCCAGTCCCTGTGCCTTCCCCAGGATCTGGAGAGAAAACCAGGGTGACTCAGGCTAGGGGGGTAATAACCATCTAAAGAAGCAGAGAGGACCTTATTGACAGTCAGACTACAATTCTGAACAGTTGCATTCCCCAGATTACATTATCTCTCATTTGTACAAAATGTCCTACAGTATTTTACTAAACCTAACGAAAACTCAGTGAGTCCAAATTCAAATAGCTCCCATCTGTTTCAATTATGCAATGTCAGGGTTGGGGATAGATTCCTTGCTAGAGCCATGGTTAGGGCCAGGATGCTTGTCTGCAGACATCTGGAGCTCTCCTGGAGAAGTAAAACTTCCTTAATATCCTCCATCTCATATTACTGAAAGGGAAAAGGAGGAAAGGTGATATACTATTGGAAACAACCCTATTTAGGCAGGGAACTTGTGGCAACCCAGATAGCATCTCTGAGCACTTATTTCACCGTGTCCCAATGAAAACTCTCAGTCAACCATTAACAAATGGCATGTAACAGCCTGTTTCCGATAGGACCATAGGCAACCAGGGTTCAGAGAGGTTGTCTCTTTGTTATGAGCAGAAAAACCTCTCAGGCTTTGTCCACTGTCTTTCCTAGGACAACTGCTGAGTGAGACAAGACAAGGATGGTGCTGTGCTTGGCACAGGTTAAATGAGAAGACAAAACTAAAAGCTGTGAAACAGAACAAATGTAGCTCAACAATGTGGTAGCTGAGTGTCAATTGTGTAAGGGTGTATAGTCTGTGCTAGCATTCACAAAAGGGAAACCACAGTGAGGAGCTAGAGGGTACAGTCAGAGAAAACTTCTTTAGGGAGGAAGAATGTGTGAATTTGACTTTAAAGGCTGGTTGTATTAAAATAGGAAGCATCACTGGGGCAAGGAGGAGGTATTAGTGTGAGCCCACATATAGATCTGTGACTTGATGAGTGGCAAATAATATTTGCCATCCACCACCACCACACCACTCCCACCCTGAAAGGGGTATGTGAAATTTCCAGGGATAGTGGGGTAGCTATGTAAATTTTTAAATGTTCAGAGTTAACTTTGATTTATTTTCAGTCACAGTATTTAACTTACTTTGGAAGCTTAAATGAACTAAAGGGGGCATGGAGATTTTTAGGTTTATCAAAAAGAGTTCTAAAATAATACAGAACATTGGTCTGGGAGCAAGAAAGCTCAGACCATGTCTATGAGAACCTTGACTTCCTTGTAACCTGAATGCAGGTTCCACTGCCTGCCGCAACAAAAGCCAAATTCATGAGACAGGTGCTAATGAGAAGGCAAGTGG